GGTTGGATGACATGCAGTTATAAGTGCCTTTTATGTTGAAATGATTATTGTTAGGTCCTTTGACAATGTTACTGGATTTGATATGTGGACAAAGTTTGCATGTCCTAGTATTGCAAGGGAATGTGCCATTGTCGCTGTTAGTGGGAAGTTTATTTTTAACTAAATGTTGTTTCAGATTAGGGGGCTGTTTAAAGGCAATGAAAGGTTTGTCCTTAAAAATATCATTGAGGGCTTCATCATGTAGGACGGGTTGTGGATCATCTATGATGCGCTAGAGGGGTTTGTTGAGTGATGGGTGATACGTAGTTATTAACGGCGTGCGGTTAGAGGATGTCTTTTCGTTGAATGTAGGACATAAACCACCCAGGACATAAACCACCCAGGACATAAACCACCCAATTGGAATATACCATTGTTAAAGTGGGTGGGCAACAGGGTGAACAATTTATCTATTTTATCTAGCTTTACAAGGGCTATTAAACCGGACCGCCGAGTCCCACTCTAACTGTGTTGGGGTGATTGAGGGGTATCACACCATAATCCTACCAAGGGATTACCAGGAACAATCTTCCGTTTCGAGCAATCGTTACCTACATTTACCACCAGTATAAAAATGATTAAAAATTATAAAAATGTGGGGCGATTATTAAACGGGACCTCCGGTCCCACTCTAACCTCGATGGGGTGAATGCGAGGGGGACATGCTTATTCTTAATCCAAGGGACTTTTAGGAACAATCTGTCGTTTTCGAACGATATTGTTTCCAAATTCCTCTCCTTATTGTTTCCCATCTCCTCTCATATTGTCCCTACCCCCTCCCCTCCCCGCCATCCGCACTTTTTATTGCCTCAGCCGTGGCCCGGGTTGAAGAATAAGTGCTGTTTTTAAAAACATCGCTAATTTCGCGGCCGCACACACAGTGAAGTAAATAGTGAAATCTGCAGTCCAACGCGATCGTATCTTATCTTATTGTTGGCTGGAATTGTGGGCTGGCTTGTTGTTGGCTGGCAGATTGTTGGCTAGCTTGATGTAGCTGAATCCGACGACCATTCGCGAAGGAAGCCAAGAACCGTCAGAGTAGAGGTTAACAATCATAATTTTTTCAGTCATTTTGTTTATGAAGAACAGACGATATGGATGTTGATTATAACACGGGAAATATTGATCTAATTTCATTTAAACAAACAGTTGCGGATTTACAACTTGATTTGGCAGAATTGTCTGACGACGCCGACGGGGCTGCAATTTTGCCACCTGGAACTGATCAGAAGCCAAGACCTTCGAAGAGGGAACCCCTCAGGCGGATGAACTCTGGTGGTCGGCTTAGGAATGTTAGAAAAGCATGGGGAGATTTTAAATCAGTAAGTAGCTGGTCCCTTGTTCAGTACAGACGGGAGCTAGTCCTAGCCTAGGCCTTATGCTACTCGCTAAGCCTAGGTTACTAGGCCTACTATACTACGGTAGCCTTTTATTTTTTAGGATATCCTACTCTAGCACTAGGCCTAGCCTAGGCCTAGTAGTAGTAGGTAGTAGGCTAGGGGCCTAGGTAGGCCCTAGGCTTAGGGCTAGGCTGGCCTAGGTTAGGCCTAATTCCCGCTTAGCTAGGCTAAAGCATACAGCTATGCTAGGCCCTTGTCTGACACTGACAGGTTGTGTAATTTAGTTAAACCCTCCTTAGAGGCCCAGGCTGGAGCTTAACCTGTTCTCTGGTAAAATTGGGCCAAATTAAGTTCAATGGAAAACCTGAATGAACAAAAGAGGTTCTAAACTTGGCCAGATCAAGTGAATTCTTATTTTAAAATCTGGTTATAATACCATAAACTATTATTTAAGTATTGAATAATATGTCACAAAATGATGTCCAAGAAAAAAAATCCCTCTGTTTTAGTAATTGGCCCCTCTTGCATTCCAACCAATTGTTTTCTTGAATGGTTTTGATCTTAGCATTATTGTAAAGTTCAAATTCTGAATTGTTTGCATTCCAAACAGCTTTTTTAACACTGAAAACAGGTTTGCATTGTTGCATTCTCTTCCAGGTAAGATTATTAAAAATTACTTCTGTTTAGCAGGGCTGGAAAAAGTGCGCGACCAGCGGTCGGATGCATCATGAACACTTGGTGCTGGAGGCGGGCATTTTATTGAGACAATTTTCATGTTCGAAGGCAGAAATATTTTTTTTCAGGCCTGCTCTTTGGTTTTCCTAATTAATGAAGAAATTATCATTAATTAATTATGCAATCATTAAAAAAGAAAAAAAATTACCATACTGTAATTTAAATATTTAGATAAAAAGGACATCAATAATTCCTCATAAATTCAAAATTAACATTTTAAATTGAATTGCACAAGTATTTCCATTCAGTATTTACCATTATCAATTACCGGTAACTATTATTGTTATTGCTATGTCAATATCAATATTTTTAAATATTAGGAAAATGGGATCTAAATTGCACATTATTTTTATTGCCTGAGCAAAACCACAGACAAGAACAAGAACAAAAGCAAAAAAATCACATCAAACACCAAAGCTCATTCTGACATCACTCATAGTTGTCAGTATTGAAAATTAATTGGTTCATTTAAGTCATTTTTAATTAATGAATTTTCATTTTTACTTGTGTATTAAAAATACTACTCTTGAAAAATCATCAGAGGAAAACAATGTGCTTTTTCATTTAGCAAATTGGCTAATTGCCAAAAGTATCTAGGCGTGGGAGAAAGTAAAGTGAAAATAAATTTTTATTGATGAGTAAAAAAATTTGTGTGAATGAATAAAAATAATGGTAGGCACCCTTGGGCCCTCTCTGGAGATTGTATTGCAATGTTGTAAATAATACCATGTTTCAATGATAACATTCGATATTGATGTTTATTTTATGGTAAATTGTCAGGAAGAAATTTGTTTTTTAAGAAGAAAAATAAATTTATCATATATATTATAATATTATTACATTTCCATTGAAGTGATGGGAATTCTATCACTTCACGTAGAATTATTACCTCCATGTAACAGATTTCTAACAAGTTAATAGAATTGATGGCAGAATTGATGTCATAGGCTTATGTCGAAATATAGAAATTATTGATCATACTGTAATTTGGTATTTGTCCAGATGTGTCATGATTCTGGAAAAGTGTAGAGAGGTGGATTGGACATAGATTAAAGATTTGAATACAAATTAATCGCAAAGAGGTCTTTCTTGGGTTTTAACCAACCAAGATTTAATAATATAAATCATATTATTTACAGTGTTAAATACTATTTATTCAAAAAATATGTTGCAAAGACTGGAACCTGATTTACAGATTTTTATACTAAAAGAGTATATAAAACAAAAAAAGATTAATAATTATGTAATAAAATAAACGAGTAATTACAAAAGATGGAGAGGGATCATTTAAAAAAAAGTTTGGCAAATGTATTAATTGTCCTCAATCATCATTAATGTTTGGGTCTCTTAAGTTGACTTGTACTTTTTTGTGTTAAGATTAAGTTTATAAGTTATGTTCTATCAATGTACTCTATTGATTAATACTGTATTATTATTATTGCTTGGTTTTGTTTATTTTGGGTTTTTTTTTTTGGTTTTCCATTCTATGTATTATGTTGCCAGTGATTGTGATTAAATGTGTTAATTGTCCTCAATAATTTTTCTAGGTCTCATAAGTTGTACTTTTTTGTGTTATTCTTTTAAGTTTATTAAGTTAGTTATGTTCTATCAACGTACAGTACTGTATTGAAAAATATGATTATTATTGCTTGGTTTTGTTTATTTCCATTCTATGAAATGCCATTGATGTACTATTGAACTGAATGCAAAAAAAAGTTAATGCTCCAGCTGTTAAATTTTAAAGAACAAGTCTATTTTCTTGAGCTTGATTTCATATACATGATGATTCCAGTACTGTACTTAATATCTGTCATAGATTAGAGAAGGAAAACATTCAATACTATTGGTATTTAAAATAAATTTTTACAAAACCAAATGCAAATTTCTTTGTAATGTAAATTTACAATAAAGAATATTGTATGTTTCAGAAAATGAAAATTCCTAAAAAAGGTACGAAAAATACAAAATGGAACGTTCCTCAGTGCTCTCCAGAAAATCGCACTTCAGTTATGAGAACACCAAAATCAGTGACAAAGCAACGATTGCTGGATATAGCCTACAGTCCAGACTTTTTCAGGACCCCAGAACAGTGTAGAATCTATCGTGATTCTAACAAAACAACACCTGACAGTGCACAAGGAGAGTTCTTACGCAGGTCGATACGCATTGCTAACCGAACACCGACACCAACTTCAATGAATTCTCAGAAGACACGCAAAAGAAGCGTAAAACCAAGAAGGTAACATGATTTTAGGCAAAAAAAGAAGTTGAAACAACTTAGAAAAAATAATTATTAAAAAAATAAAGAATATTTCCATTCCCCTGAACCTTTTTGGGCCTTTTTTGACTCCAAAACACACAGATAGTTCTCCAGCAATGTAACTGGATGAGAGTATTCATGTGTCTTAGGAACAGTAGCAATGCCAGAGAGTTCTTGGACAGACTTGAACATCTAACGCTGTGATAAGTCAAATGAGGTTGTTGGACCAAAAATATTAATTTGTCTATCCAATTTTTTTTTTTTTATTACTAATCCTGAATCTAAAAAGCACAATTTTGGGGCATACCGAGCCACAAATACCTTCCTCATGAACCCTATCAGGGATTTTTATTCCGAGACTGATCAAACGTCCCCTGTTTGCAAATTTCTGGAGCCACCACTGCTTAGACTGACCAAACTTTTACTTAAAAGATTGTAAACAAAGTCACCTTCTCATAAACAAGAAAAGAATGAATAAATTTGAAAGATACTAAAAATCATTTGTTCTTCCTTCAGAATCGAAAATAACAGCTCACAAGATGTGTACCAAGAAGTCAACAACCTTGTTCAAATGACCCGCACTTTGTCAACATTGTCATCGGCCGTTGATGGATTTAAAGGAATGGCAAGTGGATTAGAAGAGTCAATTGAAAAAAGGTTTGTTTAGATAGTTGTGCTTCCACTCTCATTCTACCACTTCTAATAAGGAAGCTTGTGCTTGAAATTTTTCCTTGAAAATGTTTGAACATAGGTGCTGCTGGTACATGGAATTTAAATAAAAAATAACAGTATAAACTGTTTTGGAGTAGTAACAGTATGCTCCCCTATCCTTTCATTTAATTTTTCTCTTTTTTTTGGGTGGGGGGTGGGGGCTAAACCGCATGTCCTCCACCCCTGATCCCCTCTATTTATATTCCCAGCCCACAACCAGTATTCCGAAACATAAACAGCAGAGTAAATGATGAACAAAGTTTCCTTAAACAATAGAGTCTGGCCCAGGATTTATCAACAGCTTAGCAAATGTCTTAAGTCAAAAAAGTTAAGATGTCCCTAAGCAAATATCTTAAGCTGATTTATCAAACCATTTTAGGGAAAAAAATGACAAATTTAAGCTGATTTCTAGTTTGGTAAATCCGGCCAACAGTGGTGTTTAACTTCTTAACTATTCACATGATCCAATTTCCTCCATGACAGCTTACAGGTAATGTCAAATGGAGCTCCCAAGTACTAATGCATTATGTTTTCGATAATTAAAAATGCCTTTTTAGTAAAATTGATGGTTTAATATAAACATACTGTAATCTACTTTATATTTTTAGTGAATCCAAACAAGATGCCAGTAAAGTGGACTCTAAGAAGGCTAATGGAAACAAGAAGCAGAAAACACCATCACCCAAGTAGATGAACGGAACATGTACAATTGTCATGTATACTAAATGATCATCTCCTAAATTAATGCGGCAATGTACTGTAATATAGCCAATCAGGATTGCAGGGTTCAGGATGATTACATTTCTATAAGTGACAGGATGAATATAGGCTCTACCTAAATCATAGCATGAACACTGCACTTTATATGAAGAAATAAAGACTAATATAATTTTATTGCATTAATACAATATCATTATTATTACTTATAAAATTAATACTAATATTGCATACTGTTAACACTCTGACCGCCAGGGGTTTGAAAAAATAGTATCGGCCACCGCCAGACTTTTTAGTAAATCCTAAGACTTTTCCGAAGCTTGTTGAGAGTGCCTATGTGATCAGATTGACATGTAATGAATACTACAAGAACTATGAACATCTTAGCTTTGCAATGGTACCAAACACTTTATTTTAATCAAATACCGCTCTACGTTAACGTAAACAGACAAATAGTGAAATACTTATGGTCCAGACTGAATATAGTCTTCAAATTGTTAGTACATGTCAGTAATTACTCCATCAATCGGATTCCGTAAAAAAACTTGAAACACGGAGATCTCCGTGTTTGACAGTCAAGCGTTGCGTTACCAAACACAGAGATCTCCGTGTTTGGCGGGCAGAGTGTTAATGAACTACTGTAAACTCATTATTATTACCAGTATTATTATTTTTATTGTGATTATACAGTATTTTTTTCTATAATGTTGTTTGTACACTAATTGCATGGAATGCATGGGCATTTTTACTTATTGTATACCAAATTGTATGTTACTTACAAGGAACATATATATAGTCTTGCGTGGATATCGCAAAGTAATGGTATGTGTTTTAAGCTAAATATACAGGTAATACAGTATATTCTGCAATAAGAGAGTCCCACAATCAGCTAGTTTTAGTGGGGGTGAGTTGGGGTATTATTATATCCAATGCATCTTAATACAGGTCTCCCTCCAATTAAAGACCACTTCTCGGGCTGCGGTTTTCATGGTCTTCAGCAGTTTTGGTCTGATGTGAAGATTAAAAAGTAATTCTATTATTTCTAGTATAGGTTCCAAAAATGCTTAAGTTGTGGGGGTGGGGGTTATGATCTAAATTACTTACCTGTAGTAAGTTATTATTAACTGTTAATTTGTCTGCTGGTAAATCAATTTAAACTGTACAGTATTTTCAATATTGGGGGTACTTACAAAAAGTGTTGACAATATTTAATTGTAGTAATGTCAACACATTTTACATTATTTGGAAATTTCAAATACTGTGTAAGTTGGTAAAGTTATTCAAAATACTGTACTGTAGGGTTGTCCTATTTGAATGTCAATTTCCATTGTTTTATTTAGTAAATTACTCTCATTACACTGCACACTTTTACTTTTTCATTTGATGATAATATAATAATAATAATATATAATTCTTTAAATTCGGATTTCATCGATACCGAATTGTTAAGTACTTACAAAAGGGAGGGACCATAAACCAACAAGTAATTATTACTGTAATGTTATACTTTTTTTTTCTAATATTTTATTCTGCAGATTAACTTCTGTTCTGAGTTCTATCTGCATTTTAATGGTTAAATGATTAAAAATACCTATGAAATTTATTAGGTATTGTGCCTAGTGTTTAAATTGTAGAGGGAGGGGAGTTATTCACAAAAAAATGATTTTAACTTGTTAACTTCTTGTACAGAATAATTAATCAACTAGAGAATAACTTGTAGATAGTATGCAATTACAATATAATCAGGTTTTGACTACACTATTGGAAATAAAAGCCAAAGGAGCCATTATTTCCCAAAACAATTGCCTGAAGTCTGCAGTGCTGAAGGAAATATTTGAAGGAAACAATGGTTCCAAATGCTTCTATTTCCTATAGTGTACGAAATTACTTGACTATAATTGCTTCGTAAGTCAGTTGTGACGTCCATCACCCTTTAATCAAACTGCTGGCTCATAAATCCATAGTGCTGTTTGTGGTTGTGGTCACATTACTAAATAATCACTGTGCGTGTGCATTAGTTGCGCGTAATAGAATGAATTGTTAGTAGTACCAGCAGTACGAGCACTGACACTCTTCGCAGCTCTGCACGATACAAAGTCATGAATCTACTAGCGGCTATTAGGTAGGCCTAACCTCCTGGTAGACATTTGTTTAATAGATAAAAAAGTACTGTATTGACGACAGGAATTATTTCAGCGTTGCCTTAATTTTTCAGTTCTTCTATAAGTCAATCACATTATCTCATAGCTATTATACCTTTCTAGGCCGGTCTATGCATCATTCGTGTTAACCAGCTGCATAGAGTGATATTTGTTAGGTTAGCTGTGTGCTTTCATAGGTTGGGCTAGCAACAAAAAATTCCATTGTGTTGTACTGTAGTAAAATCACCCCAGCTTTGAGTTTTCTTGCACATAAGGTGCAAAAAATTGGAGGCACTATGATAGTTAGTGATCAGTTCGGAATAGGAAAATTCAGTGCAAATAAAAGTGATGACATCACCACTGGCTTATAATATATCATTATATAGTAGGTTAATTACATATTGTATATGGAGGACAAGCAATATACTGTATCTGTAGTATATAATGGGATTCTTATGGTGTGCAGATAACCATGTTGATTATGTATTTCTTACTGCTGTATTTCAGCATTTATTTGTGTACTTGCATGTTTTTTTATGCTTTGCAATATATTCATTTGTAATTAAATTTTATTGACAAACTTTGATCTCAGTTTTAGTTTTGTAACTTGTTGAAAATTATATCCAGATTGCCTTATCAACAAATTGGTGTTAATAGTTTTTCTTATCACTAATTCTTTCCAGACATTGTTTTATTAAGTTAACAAACATTGTATCCGTTAATTTTCTCAAGTGAACATATTTGACCAACGCTGTGCGAATATACTCATACGAGGTTTATGTACATTATTGGAGGATAATTATGTTTACCTTGTTGCTAATCACATCCATAAGAATTGTTTTTTAGTTAAATTTTAAAAAGGACAAAATCAACTGATTACACAACTTCAATACTGAATTAAAAAAAAAAAAACTGTAATAAGAACTCTAATACTGTACTGTAGATGTTTAATAAATTCAACAGCACTTTAACTACTGAACTAAGCATCATCCTTAAACTGAGCATTCTTCGGAAAAACATCTTCAAATTAAAAAAATATGATTACAGATCTTCTTTCTTCTGTATGAAGGTAGACAATGTAAGTTCAGATGAAGATGAACTTTTTTGTTGATGTGCACAAAATAAACACTGCCCTATATGGACATTAAATGGAATTTATTAAAGTAAATACTGGTACTACTGTACTGTGTTACCAAAGCAGAAGTGTCAAATGATGCACTCTGTCGTCCAGTCAATATCTAACCGTCCAGGTCTGCTAAAAGACTACTCTATATCTTGGAATCGGTACATTAATGAGAGACCCATAACCTCAAACCCATCTAGCAGACAGTGCACTGACAATCACAGAATTACTGACTCTCCATCTGTTCAACCTTAGATAACCATGGTTGTCCAGAGAAGGACTGGGAGAGTTCTTCCCTTGGGGCCTCTCAATGTTTGCTTTGTGTCTGTTCACATCCTTAGTACACAGATCAAACCATAAGAATAATAGTTCAATTAACTGAAGAATCTTCCTGTGACATGTGCTGCCGCTTCAGTGGAGGTTCATCATCAAGGCTTTCCTGAGGATTAAATAAACAACTGAAAATTATAATAAATAACTACAGTATTTGATTGGGGAGTGCCTCACAGCTAAGGTAAAGGGTCCATGTTAAATGTCCTCTTATTGGCTGTCATTAGATAGGAATGTCAACTTTCAAAATACTGTACAGAATATTTTCCTCATTTTTGCGGTTCACTCATAATTGCCAAATGTCAGTAAAGCTCCATGTCACCAGGGGGATCCAGAATTTTTCAAACAGGGAGTGGGGGGTGGGGGCACAGCAGTTTAGGAATAGATAAGTGAGTAGCACATAACACTGATATGCATTGAAATTTTACAAATTTAGTTGCAAAACGTTACCCCACTGGATCCTCATCTGCTTACATTACCATGTAGTGGCATATCTAGTTGCAACACCCCCGCCCCATTGAAAATGTTCAAAGCAAGAAAATCATTCTCATGTAGATAAAAATTACTTCATATCACCTTATTTGGGAGCTAGCACACACTCACTTAATCAGTGAGTGCCCCCTCAATAATGGAGCCTCCCACTTCACCTTCGCGCCCCTCATCTGTGCTCTCCATCAGCAGTGGCGCCTCTAGGATATAATTTATGGGGTGGGGGGCTAAGTATTTATGGGTGTAACTATAGTGTGCAGCGTTTTCTGAGGGCAGAAGCCCGAGCCAGAGGTGGGTATGGGAGGGGGAAGTTGTCCCCTCTTCCCAAAACAAGATTTAAAAAAAAATTGGGACTTCTAGATGGCCGGATATGGCTGGGATGGGAAAACTAGGCCTATTTTTTTTTTTTTTTTTTGTCCGACTGGCCCGACGAGCATTGGCCAATGGGGGGGACTTGACCAAACCGATAGGGGGGGCTTAATCCCCCGCCCCGGCTGGCGCCGCCACTGCCCATCAGCTCCCACCCCCCTATTTCAAGAAATTTCTAGATATGCCACTGTTACCATGATTGTTAAAAAACTTACCTCAGATGGTCTGATAGTTGATATTCTTTGTGCCGAATCTGAATGAATTTGTGGTGCTTCTAAAGGGACTTCTTTTGTATCATCTTTTAGGTGAGCTGTGTCATCTTTTATCTGACTTTCAGGTCCTAAAATAATATTAATGTGTTGTTAGAATAGAATAAAAAATATTATACAGTAAAGACATTATAGAACCTAACATGACAAACAACTTAACACTCTAGTAGGTCACTTATGTTTCATAGGTCGCTCTTGTTTCATATTGTAATAAAGCAAAACCAGCAACAAACTTTAATACCTTCTACTACAAAAAAAAAATTATCACAATAATCATAGTAGTAATACCAACACCAATGGCAACAATAACAATATTCTACAGTAATTTCATAGTAGTACTCTAATAACAAAAGACAATAATACAGCAATAATAATAATATTATTAATAATAATAATAAACTATTATATTTTAGAAAGGTAACAATAATATATTGTGATTATGAAACATTATAAAATTGACATAATACTACAATATTTGTCTTTGAAAATTGTAAAGCTTCCCATTAGCATACAGATTTTTAAAATCAAAACTATGATTTCTATTATATCATTTAGTATTAAATGTTATCTGCAGAGTTATACAGTATTTACATTTTTGCTAGCAACTTACGCAGAATTGGAGGTTGACTGTTAGAATCTGACATAGCTGATTGATTGGTAGTATCATCATCAAACGCACTTCTACTGTCATTATCTGTTTAAAAAAAACAATGTAGTATAGTAATAGCAATTCCAAATGAAATCATTGATGTTATTCTAGACAAAGCTGCATACAATACAAACAACACAAGGCAGATGGATCTGCCCAATTCTGATGTTACCCATGAGAGTGTAAGTGGGTGTGGTCAGGACCACTAAAAATCTTTATATATCTTTATATCTTTTATTTCAACAAACCAATTCGCAGCATATAAGCTGAATTACATGGTGTTACAAAATGTAAAATTTTCAATATATAAAAATTATTTCAAGACAGTTAATTACAAATGTTACTTTAACACAACTAGACAATATAGATACTGATTATATATACAGGTTAGTAAAATAATTATTTAAAATTAAGACATATTCAAATACAAAGTATATAAAATAGGCATCATGTTTATAAATATAAAATATGGACCAGCCTCAATAAAAATAAAACATTTGCCAATGTCATATAGGCAATATCAGTTTAACGCGTATTTTCTAGCAATCTAATTCTCAGCATCTCTCGTTAAGGCAGTGGATGAGAAAAAGAATTGCACTGTTCCCATATCTATTAGTTTTATATTTTTGGATTTGATATGTATTACAGTTTCGTAGGGTCATATTATGGTTACTTTTATTTTATGGTTACTGAGATTTTAAACATTTCAGTCCAAATTGAACACAAAGATGAAGTCGTCTATTGGCCATCGTTTGGAGTCCCAATTGCTGAAGTGTTTCCGTATATGATACATAATCCGCACCAATAATAATCCGGCATGCTCTCTTTTGGATGCGTTCAATTTGATATGATTGATCTTTTGTAATGCTACCATGCCACACCGGAGCTGCATACTCACTAATTGGGCGAACATAACCAGTATATACGAAAACTAAGTCTTCAATTGGGAGTCCAAAACATTTGAGGCGAGATAGCATATATAACCTCTGACTACATTTTGATATAATATTATTAACGTTCAATCTGAAATGGTTCAAGGGGTGAAGCCCTGGAAAACAACGACAATTTAGGGGTTTTAAAGGCCTATTTAATCAATTGTAGAGTCTACTAATATGTAAAAAAATAAATTTTGCTTTCTGACTCAATAAATTGTTTTTGTCCCAATGTGGGAGGAGTGGAGCTTCCCCGACGGGGTGGCCATGTCTCGGTCCCTTGCACTAGCACCCCCCTTAGTAGTGAATTACCTTCACTCTGAAGCCCAGTAATGCTGCTTGTATCATCATTGTCCGAGTAGTCGTGTGAGTCCATTGTCGACTCATCGATGCTTACATTTGATGGGGATCCTACATGAGAATAAACACACAAAGCATAAAAGTCGGAGACGAGAAAAAATGATAAATTTTGGTATTCATAATAATGGATATTGGAATTTATAATGCACTTTATCACCATAAGCTGTAAGGTGTTGTTGAAGGTCAGGAAGGGAATATCAGCCGAGATTATAAAATCTGTCAGAAGGTTGTTGATCTTGAATAAGTAGTTAGTTTGGACACAACTAAAGAGTAGATGAAGCACAGCATATGAAAAAGCTCTGTCACATGCCTTTCTATGGTTTAGGAAACAATATGCAAGATGTTCTTCCAAAGATCAAATTAAACACCACTGAGTGATCTGATAGTCTGATTGGAGAGAGTGGGGGGGGGGGGAGAGAGGTTAAATGACTGGAAATATTTAATGAAATATAACCATTAAAAACTGAAATATGATACAGGTAAGATTCAGTAGAAGGTACGAAGGATGACAGAAGTTCTGAATCTCAAAAAAAACGAATTTTCCATTTTGGCAGACAGGGAGGCAATCTATCGTCACCCAGGAATTCGTACTTGATAGATACCTACTGTGATAATCATTCATTCTCTCTTCATCAATAAGAGCTGTGACATCCCTGTGACGTAATGGTTCCTGCCTATGTGAATCAGAAGCATTGGAGGACTCTGCAAAAATAAATTTCTTCGTATTTAAATAACTTTGACTAAGACAAAGATTATTTCTACCTTAGCCAAATTGTACCTATGTTTGCACTTTATTAAAATATACAGTAGCAATAAGATACTGCACATGGTCACTCAGTCAGTCTTAATCACTGAGACATTCTGGGAGAAATTCAGTGCAGTATTAGCACACACTTAAAGGAGTTGCATTGTTTGTATTGGACTTCCTCTGCTCTGGGAAAACAGCCTGGTTATTTATCCTGAGCAACCCATGCTTAATTAAACTTATACTTATAGCATGACTTGGGTTATTTAGTAGTGAAAAAGAAATAAGAAGAGAAACTACAGTAACTTGGCCTTGTTATGTTCAGTTTATCAGGTTTGCCAAATTGACAAAACAGGTTGGATAATTCTGCTCAGATAATGTTGAAAAATGTGTCACAGGTATTAATCAATGAAGGTGTTCCATATATGGCAGTTTTACATTTTTTTTTTCAATGTGAATAACATAATAGTAATTTTGAAATTTACAATGCCTGAAGAAAATACTAAACCTGGAGCTCTGAATGTGAGTAAGATTCTTTTTTTTACAATTTCAATACTGCACAAAATATTTCCTTTTGCAGTTTTAACGCATACTTATATTTTTGTGCAATTATATCTAAATTGCACAAATCCAACAAACTGCACATAACACCTTAATTACCATCTGTTTTATTGCTGTATTCAGATGTCTGCTTGGGTTGATTAATGCTAGCTCCTGAGCTGCCCGGTAATTCATTTGAGTTGGATGTTGAGGTGTCTCCGATGTCGTCTCCTCGCTCTATCTGGCTGGTAGATGCCTGGTTCCCATCTGCAACTTTTTCTCCTCCATCTTTGTTTTCTGAGCTGCCACTAGTTCCTTCAGTCTGTTTCACTTCATCTTCATCTTTACTTTTGGTCTCCTGCACTGGAATCCACTTGTAAACTTTCAATGTTGTATCTCTGATGGTAACCCATTTCTTTTCCCTATAAGAATTTACTTTGTATTATTTATTAGATGTGGCTAGGGGTCATTACATACATGATGTTTTTCTAAAGGAATCTTAAAGCAGAGAAATGATAAACAAGGTTGAAAAGGCAACAAATGAACATGAACTACCTATGGTATGCATAGGGATCAAGAGTCAGTAAGGTCTTTTTTAAACATAACCCAGTTTTTAATTTAATGTAATATTATTACGGGAGTCCATTAATTTCGACCTAATTTGTACAAATAAATACAAATTTAGATTTCCAAATTCATTCAGACATAAATACTATATTATACAAAACAAAAATCTCTTTTTATACCCAATGACTAGAACTTTTCATCTTGAATATGAATTGTTTTTACAAAAAAGAAAACATTGATCATGTTATAAAATTCAGGATCCTTTGTAATCATCCCAATCTTGTGCCTGTGCAATTTTGGCCCAACACCAGGGTCACTTCAGTTTTTCTAGCTGAATGACAATTGTTGAAGGCACTAGCTAGGCCTTGGACAAGAAACTAGGCCTAGGCCTAGGCTAGGCTAGCCTAATAATTGTGAAATTTTTCGTAAAGTGCTTAATAAAATATAAAAATACATGTAACTTAACGTAACTTTACACTTAATCCATAAACGTAGGTGTGTGCCTTTTCTCTAGCTTTATAAGCAGCTTTAAACTACGGTAGGCCCTAGAATAGTCGTAGCCCTCAATTTTGCTAAAGAATGGAGCAACCTTGCACCTCGCACCACAGCTTGGTTTCGTTCGAGACCGGTCCCTACTTTACTACACCGGCCAGCCTAGACGGCCTACAATATGCTAAACAAGGGCAAAACTAACCATTTTCGAACCCTATCAATCGCTTGCATAACACGTTTAATTTCATCTTTAGCCCGACTCCGAGTTTCAGCTCGAACAGAACGAGAGGAAGTTAACATTTTGAGAATAAAATAGGAAAATGATGTTCTTGTATTTACCGGTGTCGGACACACACAACAAAGCAATCCTCTGTAAGACCTTTGACCTGTCCATAAATGGGATCGCACACAAGCTATACACATGTTTTGAGGTTTGTTTTGTTTAGCCTAATCTCCACTACAAATTATTATATTTATTTCCATTGCACCCAGTATGATATTAGAAGTAATATAGATAATTTATATAGACAAAGCTTCGAGAATAGTCATGCAGTTGAGCTAGCAGCATCCTACTTAAATTAGGCCCTGGCGGCTAGCTAGCTAGGAGGTTGCCTGTCAGTGTTGTGTGAATGAGTGTCTGTACTCTGCCACGTCCAAGCGGAACGCTAGTGAATCTGTATGGGAATGGCCTACCACTGTGTGGCTGGTTTTTGTGTAAACCAAATTTCTTCAAGTAAGTCAAAATGGCAAGATCAAAGCGGCAATAGGCGTAAATTGTCATACATAGAAGTAAAAAACGCGAAAGAACAACGACAGCGACGACAACAACAACAATAACACTATAACAGTAAGAATAATAATACTGTAACAGTAAAAATAGAGTAATAGTATAATAATGATAATAATAATAATACCTAATACTAATAATAATATAATAATAATAACAACAACAGCAATATGACAACAATAACAATTTAACATACAAATTCAATAACATGATTCTGGAAACAATATAAAAGCAGTAAACATTTAAATAAGTAAAACTTTAAGATACAGACAAAATAAGGCTAAGCAATTTATGTTATAAAAGTAAAAATGAAAAAAAATAAACCAATTATTAACATATGAAAGTGTACAAGGATTAAATACAGTAAAATGAGTCTAAATTGTCAGAGAAATAAAAAACGGGAAAGAAGAAGAAGAAGAATAATAATAATAATAATATTTAATAATAATAAAATAATAACAATAATAATAACAATAATAAATAAATAAATAGCACTTTAAAATATAGACAAAATGAAGCATCTAAATAATTCTTCATAAATTCTGCGAGAAAACATTAAAAAATTAAAATGATTTTAAAACGATTCAGAAAGTCATAAACTGCGGCCCACTCCCGGTTGCGCTTGGTAGTCATAGCATTGATTTCGCTCCTTTGCCATTTTGCAGTTTTGGTACAGTACTTGTCATTGCCGTTTTGGTCTTTTGCCATTTTGGTACTTATCACTGCTGTTTTGGTTCATTGCCGTTTTGGTTATTGCAATTTTGGTCATTGCTGTTTTGGTTTATTGCCGTTTTGACCTGCTACCGTCTTACCTCTGGTTCTGCACAATCCAGAGTCCCAACTCTAGCAAGTTTTAACAAAGTACTCTCTGTATTATTTTTTTTAGTGTTGTGTGGATGCCATCGCAATGGCACTTCAGGATAGGGACAAAAAGCCTTGCCCAGGATGCTCATCATGCCTTATAGAGCCATACATCCGCTGCATTGTTTGTGGACCACCAAAAGTCTGTATTTGTTTGCAGGTCAGTTTTTTATTCATTGCCGTGGATATTGTTCTGACCACTTTATGCAAATCTGAGATGTTGATTGGTGGTGCAGCTGGCTTTACCCCAACCTTCAGCTCGCTATCTTAATGCACCATAGCTTGTCAGAAGTATATCCATGGCGCATTCTTCATTTATATTTATTACATCAGTTTAATTTCATAAAGCCTGTCTTCAGGGGAAAAAAGTTTTATATGTTGGAAAAATTATATTCTAAAATATTGATTGGTGTTTGCACTTTTAACTGACCTTTTAAGTCTCATAAAATATTCATTTGTACAACATGTATAAAAAACATCCTCCAGTGCATTTTAAAAAGTAAAATTTAAAAAAATGGATCTTTATCTTTTCATTGAAATTAAAATTCTACATAATAATGTATGCTTTTTTTTTTGTGTGTGCTGGGTTTTTATTGAAAACAATTTTGCACTGATCAGGTTATCCATAGTGAAATACAAATTAATAATAATAAAAAAATTAAAGTATTATAGTTGATTGTCCATGATAACATCATGTGAATATTCATCTTTAGAAGTGTTCTTTCAAATGTTTGCCTGTACAGTATGTAAAGTATACAAGTATATGCTGCCTCCTCAGCCTAATTCAAATATAAAGTTGCTAAGTAAAATATAATTGATTCCTTAATTTGTATTTCATTATATTTATGAAGCTCTCCACCCCTGCATTATGGGTCTTTCGCAGTTATGTAACAGAGAAACTTATTTGGACTCTACTACCCTGTGGGCAGGGAGGCTGTCTGGGGGTCTGTTTGTGGTACAGTGCAAAGCCCTGACAGCTTCAGTGTTTTTGACGTTTTAGTTGTGTATTTTGGTGTTATTTTTGAGATGTTACTTAATTGTCCTGTTTGGCCAATTTGGGGAAAAATGCGGATTACAGTAATATCATAAAACCTGTCTTCTTTTTAAGATCTAGGTTCCCCTGGCTTTAACCAGTAAGAACCCATATATATTTTGCCACTAGCTTGTGTTTATTCTGAAAAAATAATTACACCTGTTATTGTTCATTAGGGACCATTATGATTAGATGGCAAGCTCATTAACCAGCCCTCTTAGCTGTACATGTTTGCTGATTTTTCTACATACAATAAATATTTATTGTTTTTACTTTGCAGTGTTTTTCTCATGCTTGGGAAGATGGTAAACACCAGAGTGACCATGATTATGAAATTATCGTAAGTATACTAATATTTTAATATGTAATATTATTTCTGTTTTGGCATCAAATTGTTTAAGTTGAGTTTCGGCTGCTCCCTTTTTGTCGTTGCATTAAAGTTGCTATGCCTATCACAGACCTTAAAAGTAATGGTGAGAAATACACAGATTACTCACAATAGTAATTCTTGGGGGAAAAAAATATCTTGTATCATTTGCTAGAATTAATATTGATAATACAATACAAACCTTCCTAAACATATTTATTTCTCAAAAAATAAAATATCATACCAAATATTTAAATAAAAATATCTATAAAACATAACAAGAAAATACTGCAAAAAACATCTGAATCACATAACATTAACTAAAATAATCATAAAACACCAACATGTATCCACAAAATAATTATTTTTTATTCCATATTATCATGACCGTATGATATTTAATGATCAAGTATGTTATTTTGATTACAGGCAAACCAGTTTTCAGTTTTGGATTCCAGCTGGACTGCTAAGGAAGAACTTAAGTTCCTAGATGCTATTGGAGATTGTGGCCTGGGAAACTGGTACAATCTTTTTTGCTTTTGATTATCATCACAGAGAAAATCTACAAAGCAGTATACTCGCATACATACATACCTACCTTACCCCTACACACTCAGTTGAAAGCTAATATCCAAATACAAAGCAGTTTAGGCACAACCTTGATGTTGGGGTTTCAATCCTTCGCTGTGTATTTTGCTTGTGTCTTTGAGCAAGGCACTTTATCTACATTGCTTCAGTCTATCAATGGGTACCAGCAAAATGCTGGGAGTAGTCAGGGGTGGGCTGGCATCCCACCCTTGGAGAGCATTAAATTCTCATCCACTTCATGCTACCTGAAACTGGAGATAAGCTCCAGCACTATGAGCATTGTGACTCTGCACAGGATTTACTTACAAAGCAAACAATTTAAATATTAAGTTTTCTTTTCTAGTTTTCAGCTCATCAAATAATGTCTAAAATTAAATAAATTGAATTTATGTAAGATATTGATTTCTTTATTGAGTGATTTCCTATTTTCATCTTGAATCCTAGTACTCGTAATGTTTAGATGAGTATTGTTAATATTTATTTATTTTGGGTTTAGGCAAGATGTAGCTGTGCAGGTGCAAACAAAAACAAAATTGGAATGTGAACGACACTACAATCGTGTCTTCATCAACAACTCTAGAGGGCTCTTTCCAAGTAAGTTACTAGAACACCTTATTCAACTTAATAATTAGAATGTTCATTTGTACAAAATTAAAATGTGTTAAATTTGAAAAAAATAAAATGTCTTAAAATTGAAAGAAATTAAATATTGAATACCAAGACACGAATCAAACTCACAACCTTTGGTTACTTAGAACACTTTGTTAATCGATCGTACCATCCATGCGATGTGTTCACCCTGGGGTCCAATGAGGCCCAACTCAAAAAAAAAGGGCCATCAACGTTCGTTGGAAATCTCCTCTGGTTTATGTGTACAAAATTTCAAAGAAACATTACAATCTTAGGAATTATTGATAATACAATGTGAACTCAAGATTTTTGGTTAAAATATGTATTTGAAAGATAGCTGCTTAATAATGGTAGCTTTATTTTCATAGGTCTGCCTCAGTTGACATTGGTACGCAGGGATCCAATCATTTGCCGAAGTAAGTGGTCTCTCTTTAAATTACTGTATGCGTAAAATAATATGAATCGGTGCTGTAGTTTGTTTCATTTCATTTATTATTTCCAGGCAATATAAAATACAAAAAACAAAGACACAGCCTGAGGATAACCTAAAGCAAACTTAATTACTATCGAGAATTTCTCCAAACAGAAACAAGACAACAAACACACATAAAAATAGCAAGCTTAAATAAAAGTACCGCACAGAATAACAATTCTGTATTTTATGGTTTATTTTGTCCTTTGTCTTCAGATATGCAGCATAACAATAAAATATAATTTAAGCAATAGAAAAGCTTGTCATACTAGACAGAATTACTGTAAAATGTAATTAAATCATACTGTACAAGATTTCATGAATGGTTAAATATTGATCAATAAAACCTATTAATTTTAATTTCTCTGAATATATAATTTACCTTAATTCAGTTTAATTTATTTTTGTATAGTTTTTATTACATTGTATTGTTTACCATAGATTGATTTCTTAGCTGTGTGATGGATGTAAACAATTGATCAGCCCTGATTGGACAGACCACCCTCACAAAATAGTGTTGAAATAAATAAATAAACACAAAGTAGAAGATAACATACATTTTTTTTGTATTCTAGTGAGTGAAGATCCTCCAAGACCAAGCAAAGAAACACAACGAGCTGACATGGCTGGTTACACACCTGCTAGGGGAGATTTCAATGCTGTGAGTGCTCTTATAGTTTCCGATCAGTCAATTTATCAATCAATCGATCCATTCATCAGTCATTAATCAATCACCATATCAATAAATTAATGATTCACATTATCACAGCAAACATTAGACCACACCCTAGATCTGAAAACCAACTGGCCCTGATTTCCAATAAGCCATTTCATAGTTTGGACTGTGCATGCCTGTGTTGAAGGTCAATCTCTATTAACAAACATTTAACACACACAACATATAAGCCTCCAAGTTCACACAGCCTCTGGAATCGTCTGAATTTTTAGGAAGCTTTTACAAAACAGTTCTTCATCTTTATGATGAATATTAGCCGTATGAGTATGTATTTGACTCATTTTTCAGACAATTCAAAAGGCTGTGCCAACACCGAGGCATAATTTGAGGCAGCTGGGTCGTATTAATTTATTTGCTATTACCTATCCATGACTTTTGTCAATAAAAATTGAACTTGGTATGGCCAAGTTAGTAAATTATTGAAAATATGTAATAATATTTTGCAACATCATAAAAATCCTTGTCACTTGGCAGGACTTGAACCCAGGATTTCTGGATTGGACGGCATGTATTTAAACCATCAAGTTACTGTAGATATTAATACAATTACAATAATTATCAAAGGCAAATTTAATAAGTATAATTTACCTTCTTCCATTAAGTTACCACCTCCATCTTGTTGAAGATTATCCAACTGTCTGGTGGTGACTGGGCAGTACAGTGGAAAACAATGCCCTACTCTATATTGCACACAGGACAAACGACTTTAACATCTTATCCGAAAGGCGGTGCATTATTAAAACTTGCATTTCATTCCTCTGGCTGAAACTCAAGAAGAACTGCGATGGCAATTGAACCGGAGACCAGGATATCTCCATGGTTCAGTGTGCACCCTGTAGCTACCACCAGTTTAGCTGACTGAGCTAAAGCTCCAAAACTGTCAGTAGATTGCAGTAAGATGTCATGTAGATTTACTGTTTTTACAGGAATTTGACAATTATGCAGAGCATGATGTATTAGATATCTACTTTCAAGGTGAAGAAGAACCATTACTGGAGCAGTTGAAAGTAGCTGCTGTAGATATATATAGTGAAAGGTTACAGGAGAGACAGAGACGCAAACGGTAGGACTACCATATACAGTATAATCTCGAGTTCATTTAGTTCAAATCCTAGGGCTCCTAAGTTGGCAGAAGGCACTTCAAGGCGATGTGGTTTAGTGAGCTTTCTTTAAATGCATCTTATTGCATTTTGCTGTGCTTCGTAGTTTTAGGGAGAAAATTAGTATTGAAGATAGTAGCAAACATTCTGAATTTATGAGAGATGGGATAGTTTCCGGGGGACTTTTGCTTGCTTTTGGAAATGTGGGAAACTCTGCTGATTCCTTGAAGACCTTTGAACTCTGAAAGACGGCATACCAAGATATATTTTCTTGTGTCCTTGGGCAAGGTACCCTATTCATGTTACCTTTCTCCATCCAGGAGTAATGTATGTGGGTATAGGATGTTTAATGCACTCATCTACTTCCATGTAGTAAATTATGAAATACTTTCGGAGGGAGCTTATTATGTGATCCAAAGGCATCGTTCTGACAAGTGAAATAATTTGTGCTCTGCGATTTAATTTTATAAAGCGCAAAGATGCCAAAATACTACCAGAATTAGTTGGTCTTACATTGATGGGAGTGTATACTATTATATAAATAAACTAAGCTAAACTACAGTATACTAGAGAATTAGGTTTTCTTCAATTTTATACATCTTGCAGTTTATTGAGGATGATTTTTTTTCACAAAAGAAATTAATTTCTGGATGTAAAACTAATTTGTCAATATCTTATTCTACTATATATATTATAAATTAAGATTTTATTCTTCCTTTTAATATTCATGGTATCTAGTTTTATATATTTCTTTCAGGATGGTAAGAAACTATGGTCTGATTAACATTGCTAAGATACAAAGTAAGTAAAGCTTCTCACAATCACTACCTGCAGTGTTATAAAATTTTTCCCTAGGACACTGAGAATATGACCCATCATTTTAAAGCTTATAATGTGAAGAATAAGAATATATATATATTTTTAAATAATTTTTATTTTTTGGTCACTAATGATGGTTTTGGGATGGCAAGCCTCATATCAATCCACATTTTCAGAAAATTCTTTGTAAGAGTTGCTTCTTTTTATATACTCTAATTATTATTATTATTTATTGTATATTACTTAGGGGCTTATTGGTCATAATGACTTTTTCCCCCAGTGAGCTAAGTACATTTTTGTAGGTGTTTGGTCCTGGGTGTAATGTGAAGCACATAAGGGCCTTAATGGCATGATGCACAACATAACAATTTATTTCTTTTTTATAATGAGACAACTTCTTGAGCAGCATGGGACAAAGTAATGGCTTTACTGTAATAGCTGTCCCTGACCATAAAACTTGATTTCATTGTATTTTTAATTGTGAACAGGAATTTATCTCGCTTTTTAAGAAGGTTTATTCAATAATTTGATTATGAAGATTTCATTTTATTTATTGATCACTTAATATGCATGATATAAATGTCAAAAAGATGGAAGGATGTGACTAGTATTGTTAGAGGCTAGGTACATCCAAAACAGATGGATCTTTTTTGGCCTAGCTATAGAAAGGTCAATCTATATATTCTATATATTACATCATCATTTTATCAATGACATTCAGAATTGTACGTGACAAGTTATTGACTGTCATATAAACCGTTAAATGAAATTAGAAATGTAGATATGATATTCCTTAATGTTTTAAATGTGAATGATTATGCAGTTTTATTTTTTATTTTATTAACTGTCATGACACATATGAGAAGCTTTAATTTATTTTTAACCTGCCTAGTAAATATTTAGTATTCTATAAGAAATTTAATGTTTCGGTGCCTTTAATTGTTGTTAACCATGTATGATTGGAAAAAAATTAATTTTAAAAGAAAAATTCATTTGATGAATTTGATTACAAAGAGGAAATCCAAAGACAATGATAAATATTATTTTCAATAATTAGTTTAATGTTTCTGTGTCATACAGTAGAACCCTTCCTTCGGGACAACCCTATTAAGGGGAACACTTTTCCGTGAAACGAGGGGAAATATATCTTTTAACACTACAGCAAACCCCTATTAAGGGGACAACCCTTTCCGAGTGTGCCAAATTGTAAAATAATCCCTATTAAGCAGTTGTAAAATAAGAAAGAATTAGTCCCGAAGGTGTCCCTTTTATAGGGGTTCTGCTTTAATTGTTTTTACTAAATAATATAATTAATACATTGATTAAATAAATATCAATATTAATAGAAGAAATGGCAAAATGTCCACTATTGATATTACAGAAATGGATAATTTGTAATTTAAAGCTGAAATTATTTATTCTGTTATTACATAATACCTCATAATGTTTTATTAATTTTATTTAGGAACCATAGTGAAAATAAGTTGCTTTTAGTACTTAACCATTTTTCATATTATTTGTTGGTTTTTGTAGTTCAGATTTGCAAAAAAGAAAATAAATAATTGATTGCTAACATAATGATTTATACAATTAATTATGTTTAATTGTAATGTGAAGAAAAAGTGAAAACGGAACATAAAAATGCAAAGAAATGTATCTAGTTACTTTGACAGAAAAGAAAGATTATAGGTCAACATTTAGAGATAAGCAGACTGGTTTAGCAGAATAGGAAGCGATGTACTAAATTGAATTAAATATTCAATTACTCAATTTCATTTTAGTGACCGAACTTGGCTATGACAAAGTTACTAAGGAGCTGAATAAGAGTCTGAATCCATTCATGAAGCTACAGACGCCGCTTGCCCATGATAAGTTACTGGAGGGTCTTATATGTGAGTTTGATATTTACCTATGGCTATCCTAAAAACAGAAAACACCTATCAAATATTTACGTTATAATTTTGTAGGTAGTGTGTCATAATATACAGCTAAATCTAGTGAGGATGATGATGATAATGATGGTGATAATGATGGTTATAATGACATTGAGGTTATGTGAGAATTTGTTTATATCTGGTTTCGCGAAGATAGTTTTTTAAAGATCGTCACAAGAGGGCAGAACAAAATAATAAAATTTTGTTTTCATATTTAGCAAATAGTTTTACTGAAAACATTCAGATGTAGGAGAAAATAAAAATAACATTTTATTGGTGAATGTAAGCAGTGTAGTAATGGGATGGTTAAACACTTTAAATTTATATAATTTGGCAGAAATATACATATTTTGCTTTTGGAGATTTCAAGGTAGCGGCTGGCATAATAAAAATAAATAAAATATTTTATTTTTTCTAAAATTTTTCATTTTTGTGTGGTGGTGCTAATTGGCCAAAAATAAAATATTATTTTTATTTGAAATCATCATTACCTGTGGGTGGTGCGGTCGTTAATTGGTATAAAAAAGGTCTTGCATTAATGGTGTTGTTGGTGATAATGTTGAAGATAATGATGTTGACAATGATGATGATAGTGGTGATGATTATGATGATGACAACAATGGTAATGATGTTGATGATGATTAAATTAATAGTTGGAATGAGAAATTAATATGGTAACTTTTACATACTGTTGTTGCTTTTGTTGGTGCTTTTGTTGTTGCTGTTGGTATTGTTGTTGCTGCTGCTGTTGTGGCTGTTGGTGTTGTTGCTTTTGTTGTTGTTGATGTTGTCTTTGTTATTGCTGTTGGTATTGTTGTTGCTGTTGTTGTTGCTATTGGTGTTGCTGCTTTTGTTGCTGTTGGTGTTGTTGGCATTGTTGTTGCTATTGGTGTTGCTGCTTTAGTTGTTGCTGTTGGTATTGTTTTGCTGTTGCTGTTGTAGCTGTTGTGTTGCTGCTTTTGTTGTTGTTGCTTTTGTTATTGATGTTGGTATTGTTGTTGTTGCTGTAGTTGTTGCTATTGTTATTGCTGCCTTTTTTGTTGTTGCTGTTGTTGGTATTTTTGTTGTTGTTGCTATTGGTGTTGCTACTTTTGCTGTTGTTGGTATTTTTGTTGTTGTTGCTATTGGTGTTGCTACTTTTGCTGTTGTTGGTATTTTTGTTGTTGCTGCTTTTGTTGTTTTTGTTGCTGTTGCTTTTGTTGTTGCTGCTTTTGTTGTTTTTGTTTTTGCTGTTGGTATTGTTGTTGCTGCTGTTGTTGCTATTGTTGTTGCTGTTGGTATTGTTGTTGTTGCTGCTGTTGTTGTTGCTATTGATGTTGCTATTGTTGTTGGAGTAGCTGTAGCTGCTGTTGCTGCTGTTATTGTTGTTGACTGCTGTTGCTGCTTGGTGGTATTAGTGGTAATGTTATATGTAATTATCAATTGTTTTATTGTAGATGAAAATGATCTAAAAAAAGAAGTGAAAAGATTACAGGAATTTAGAAGGAATGGAATAAAATCTTTCAAAGGTAAATATCATTAGCCAACAAATTTTATCCAACAACATTAGCTTATAATATTTGATTGTAAATGGTAGAGCTATATTTTATGTCTGTGCCCATGATCAAACCATGCTTTATGCTTTATACTAGAATTCTATTTACTGGAAATCCCTTACAGTATCAAACCACATAATATATTTAGTATTTCACACAGATTCAAACAATATTCTAGAATTCCTATCAAAAGCAAACTAAGCTTTGCTATATGGTATATAAATCCCAGAATCGAATATGCTAGATTTCGTAACAGAATCATGCTACTTTGCTGTGGGATAAATCTCCTGACCTATAATTATTTCTATTCTATGTGATTAAGCATTCAGGAACTAGAAATGAAATGGAAATCCTGGGGAATTTAGATATTGATGACTTAGATGTTGGGATGAAAAACTTAAGAACTCACTTAAGCTTGGGACACTATGTGATCCAAAATAATTTTATATCAGTTTCACTTAAACAGCAGTATATAACTAATAAAATGTGTTGTAACACATTGCAACAGATACAGAATACAGAACTTTGTATTTATTGGTCTTGTTGAAGCAAAAGTACAAGAAATTATTTTGTTGTTGGCATGTCTTCTCTTTCGAATGATACTATATTTCTATCAAGATCTGTTGTATGCACACATATGCTTGTAATCTAAATAAAATTCTTGAAAATTATATTCCCCAAGCAAACCCTTGCTTAAGCCTCCTCTCCCACCTAGGTTGATTTCATCCAAGAGTCGCACAAGTTCTACGAGTTAAAAACTTTTGAAACTCATAATTTAATTTGCTTGGGAAAGGGCCTTTATATGAGCTTATTACATGTTAGCTACAGGAGAGGTATGACCTTACGGAGTTGGTCATGAGGTATATACGAATTATACCGTGTGAAGCACCAAGTTTTCTACAAGATTTACGAGATTAATACGAGTGTAACAAGTTTGTACCAAATTAGAGTAGGTACGAGCATTCCGACCAAATGTTCCTGGTGATTGTAACCAACTTGTTGCGCTTACTTAACTCCTACTCATTTCGGGGTGCTCGCATCAAACTTGTGGATTACAAACCGCCAACGAGTATCCCAAGTAGTGTACGAGTTAGGTTTGAGTACCCTAAGTACTCTACAAGTTGTTCGAGTTTACTACAAGTTGTCAACTCTTAGCACTAATTTTGAACATGTTCAAAATTAGCGCCTCGAGTTCAGAGCTGCTACGAGAAGGTACGAGGTAGCCCCGAGCTTCCAACTCTTCTAACTCATATGTTGAAAAACCCCTAGTGGGGTAGAGGGGCTTTAGGTAGATTTTCATGAGTCAATGAGGCCTTTTTTGTCCCCATAAAACAATGTTGGTGTAAATTCAATGACACGTGCTAATAATATGATATGAATGTTCCTATTTATGTATTTAAAAACAAGCCAAACCAGTCACTTGTCGCAAAAATCGATTTTTAGTTATTAATACAGTGTTAAAGATGAAAATGGAAACAATAAAATGGTAAAGGAATTATTTAAATTTGACATTTCCTTATGAAGTTAAAAGTTATAAAGTAAAGCATTTAAACATATTGTACAGCTGTTTAAAATACAATATTTGAGAAATCAGCCTTCAAAATTTATGATTTTGGGCATTTCTCAGGCAGAAACCATCACCAAATTGTTAAAAATTGTAGTTTTAACATTAAAAATGGGGAAAATAACAGCATTATCATGATGTATAAATATATAAAAGTTAGTTTAGTGCAAAAAAGTAGATTTCAAAAATTTTGACTTTTCAGTAAGTTTTGGCTATTATTTGTGACAAGTGACTGCTTTAGCTTGTGTTTTAAACTATAAACTACATATGCCACATATGTTTTAAACTATTTTTAGTTCCTATGCATGTAATGCAATAGGAACTATTGTAATCACTCTATAGTCACATTTCTTTTGTTTTTTATTGTGTGTAGTGTGTATGTGTGTGTGTAGACATTTATGCAAATGCGCATGCATCAAAGAAAAGTTTTCCGACATTTTGTTTTACATCGCGATGGGAAGTTCAGTCAGGACTCGCGCTAACCGACCGGAAAGTCGGCATGGATGAAACTATTTTGGTTTTACGGCAAAAAAATTCAACTGCTGTAGGCATAGGTATCTTGAAGAAGGCCTAAAATAAAACTAAAATGTTTTAATACTTGCTGAAATATATCGTTTTTTTATTTAGATCTCCATTTTTCACTACGTATGAGTAGTCATATGAAGGTACTATATCCCCGACAGTTGGCTGTGCAGCAATGTACCTTTTGAATGCAATCTGAAAACAGGTGAAAATATAAAGGCAGCCGACTGTCGGGTACATAACGACTATTTAGCTTTCCACAAAAACATGAGGCCTAAGCTAGGCCTAGTTCAGTATTACAGCGATGCGAGGGTAGTTAGATCGTTCAATCAATGATATCGTGTTATCGTGTTGTCGTCTAATACAATTAAATAATGTGTGTAATATTTAAGAATGCACCACGTTGGTCGCTTTCTCTGTTATGCGGTAGTAGTATACGTAGCAGAGTGACAACATCAAGCTAAGCCTAGCCCAGGGCCTAGATCGTGTACGTTCTTGATAATCGTAATGAAAACATCGGATGACAGACGTTGCAAAGTGTGCATGTTGCAAAGTGTGCATGATATAAGGTAAATTACATTAGTAGAATCACAATTTAGAGGTGGAGGGGACAGTGTATAGTCAGATACAGTTTATAGTCAGATGTGTTGTTAAGTATTATTGATCTGTTTGTGTTAATATGGCTACAGACCTGGCAGCGAGCTTTATTACATGTGGTGTTACCGTTATGAGTGCTGGGTGTACGAAGTTTAGAAGGTGCAAGAATGGATTTAAGGTTAGGTGGCTGTCTAGTAGCAAGGAGAGGGGGATCCGAGAACAGGGGCTGGATAGTGGTGTCATTTTGAAGGAGGGCATAATCATGTTTTAATATTTTAGATAGTTTGTGTATAAGAGACAGAGTTAAAAACTTTTGAAACTCATAATTTAATTTGCTTGGGAAAGGGCCTTTATATGAGCTTATTACATGTTAGCTACAGGAGAGGTATGACCTTACGGAGTTGGTCATGAGGTATATACGAATTATACCGTGTGAAGCACCAAGTTTTCTACAAGATTTACGAGATTAATACGAGTGTAACAAGTTTGTACCAAATTAGAGTAGGTACGAGCATTCCGACCAAATGTTCCTGGTGATTGTAACCAACTTGTTGCGCTTACTTAACTCCTACTCATTTCGGGGTGCTCGCATCAAACTTGTGGATTACAAACCGCCAACGAGTATCCCAAGTAGTGTACGAGTTAGGTTTGAGTACCCTAAGTACTCTACAAGTTGTTCGAGTTTACTACAAGTTGTCAACTCTTAGCACTAATTTTGAACATGTTCAAAATTAGCGCCTCGAGTTCAGAGCTGCTACGAGAAGGTACGAGGT